TAATGCCAGCCCTAGGCAGATCCAGCAATACTTCTGACCTCTGCAGGCACCTCAGTTCGTGTACACACACACACACACACACACACACACACACACACACACACAATCTTTTTAAAAATAGTTACTAAGGATCTATGTGTCTGTCTATACAAACTTTTCTCAGCTATTTGAAAAACCATCTCTCTGTTTCTTTGGCTTACCAGTTTTTCAAACTATCTCTGATCCCATATTTTCATTATTGTTTTCAAGCCTTATTATCCTCCCTGACTCCAGCTTCTGAGCTGTTATTTGCCAGCTCCAGCAGGAGCAGTGAATCTAGTTTCAGTTTACAGAATCAAATATTTCTGGCAAATGTCTTTGTTTGATTATTGAAGGCAGGGTTGCTTACAACATGGGGCAGAATTTTGGGAGGCTTGTAAGAGAATGCCAGCATACAATGTCCTCTCTGTGAGAATGGAATTGGTGTGTTTTCCCCAGAGTCATATTTTATCACATGCATCTGACAAGTTCAGTAAATGTGTGACAGTAGGATGTGCTGGCAGCTGTGATACAGTTAGCTGAAATGGAGAAAAACTGCAAGTAGGTAAAACAAGTTCATTGAAGGATAGCCTCCAATCTGACTGGAGATCAGGAAAGCAACTCAAACTTACAAAGCAGACTCCCTGGGTGAATTCTGGACTGTGCCAAAGGAAAGGCTGAGAAAGCAGTTCAGAGTCTGCACGGGAAGGGAAGGGGGTGGGTGTTGAAGTAAGCAATGTCAAAATCACCAAGACATTTTATTTCCTACATGGATCTATTTCAGAATACCCATATTTACACGTTGGTGTTTTATGGATATTGGCACTGGTTTGCTTTTGTTTTCAAACAGTGTCTCTGTGTAATCCTAGCTGTCCTGTAATTTACAGTGTATACCAGGCTGGCCTTGAACTTACAGAGATCTTCTTGTCTCTCTCTGGAGTGTTAGTATTAAAGGTGCATGCCACTGTGCTTAGCTATCATTTGAAAGAAGTAATGATAGGTATTTCATACCCTAGCAGGCACAGTACAGGATTTGAAGTCATGCCGACAGCCGTGCCTCTGAATGTGAGATTGATGCTGTTGTATTCCCATTTTAATAACGATTGATGTGATGCTTATGGAAAATAAATGAAGCAAAGCTGTGTAACAGCAAGAGTTTAAACTCAAACAAGGCTTACCCCCAAATATCACAGTCTTTGCATAACAATCACTAACACCACACTTCTTTACATCCACTTGTTTCTTTTCTTTCTAGTCACCTATAACTCTCAGCACCAACTTTTTAGGATTTTTATTCATTAGTTTTGTTTTTATTATTTTTAACCGTGTCTGTGTGTGCATATGAGCATGTGAGTGCAGGAGATTTTAGAGCCAGAGAGGCCAGATCCCATGGAGCTAGAGTTATAACTGGAAACAACCAAGAGGGTACAAGGAATCAAATTATCTTCAGTAAGAACAGTATATGCTCTTAACCTCAGAACCATCTTTCTTGGGCAGCTTTGATTCATTGTATAACTTTTATTTAAGTGAATTAGAGGAAATGGCATAACTACCGCATTCTTTATGCTCCAGAATAGAATCCTGTGTATAATGGACCAATTATGAAACATCTATTGTTTCTCTGACATTCCAAGAAATCAACAAATAGTTGATTAAATGTTTGTATGTTGTCATCTGCTATGTTTTTTAAAAATGCCTGCATTTATAAAATGACCTGTTAGTATGAGAGACATAATGAGAGCCATTCTGTGGGCACATCAAGTATTTCTACCTAAGTGATATCTTTATTCAAAATTATTTATGCTGTTCCTTTAAAAAAGTTTTTCCATGGGCCAGCAAGATGGTACAATGAGAAGGGATGTTTGCTGTCAAGCCTGACAGCCTGAGTTTGATTCCTTGGATCACGTGATGGAGAGACCCAACTCAGGCAAGTTGTCCTCCAACTTACAACACCTACACATACACCAAAATAAATAAAGTTTTAAGATTTTTTAAAAACAGTATGCACCCATTACTTTAAGATAGTGAATGTTAGAGTAAACGTCCTTAAATTTCCGGCAGGAAAAATTTGTGTATGAATTAGTAAAAAGCTTAAAGCCCAAGCCTGCATGCTGTTTTTAAATATGTGTTGTTTTTTTTTTTTAAGATTTACCTATTTTTAAAAATGTGTGTGTGTGTGTGTGTGTGTGTGTGTGTGTGTGTGTGTGTGTGTGTTCTGTGTGAAGGTGTGTGCTTCTGTATGCAGTGACTGCAAAGGCCAGAGGCATCAGATTGTCTGGAAACAAAGCTAAAGGCAGTTGGGAGCTGCCCAACATGGGTACTGCTGACCAAACTTGGGATTCTTTGTAAGAGCAGTGCGAGTTCTTAACTGCTGAGCCTTCTTTCCAGCCCCATATGTCAATCTCAGAGTGCCACGGGTAATTATGTGAGTGCCATTAATGACTACTTGCATGTTATATATTTTCACACTATATAGATTTGTATTACATATTCGATCAGTCTGCCATAACAAAATGCCCAAGGTTGCATATGTTAAAACACGAGATGTTTATTTTTTCAGTTTGGTATTTCTATAATTTCTAGATCACAGTTTGGTGGGTTTACTTTTGAATAAAGCACTCTCCTTCTCTTCCCCTGAGTTATAGTTAGGGAACACTGCAATAGTATCTCAATGAGGAATCTATGGCAATACAGATCTATTTTCAGAAAGTCTTCATAAAGGTTAATAATTGGCATATGACCTATCAGTTGAATACTAAAGATTATCTACAGTGTGATGAAACCTGCCTGTTTTCATCATCCCTTTTCCATTACTCAGCTCATTTCCCAGCCAGTACCAAGTGTAAGCAGCAGAGTATTGAGACAGCCCGGAACTATAACGATGTGGAGTGCCTGGCGAAAGAACACAGCTTCCTTTTACTTCGTGATGCGTGTAAACCTGGCCGTTGAAATGAATTGTGTTCATGTTAGCTTCTGAGTTGTATTTCTTCACAACTTCCAAGAATTTAAAAATAAAACACCCTTTTATTAGTGTGTCTCTATCACATTCAGGAACAGCATGTTTTGTCTTTTTGGTTTTTTTCTTAACTGTTTAGTTTACACTCCTTCCTTAGGTCTAGAGTACAAACAGTAGAGGCAGGCAGGGATGTTATACCACACAGCTGACTGCAAATGGAAACTTCTAGATACATGTTCTTAAATTCATTAAACAAAACTTTAGTGAAACCACCTATATGCCATGCAGCTTTATTAAATGTCCCCATTTCAAATGTGTAACTCGGTTCTCCCCAGGAAGAGGAGACGCGGAGATTTCTAGTTACAGATCGGGCTTCATGTACGGCAGGCCTGGGGAGCTGCGCAGTGGCTCGCTGCACTGCGGAGAAAATAAGCCAGTAGCTGCTTGGGCCTTGGAGCTGAATGTCAGCAGTCCCAAAGCCACAGTGGGAGCCTGGGAGATCCCTGCAGAGTCGCCGGTGTTCAGTCATCACTGGAAGGCAGAGACTGGGGTCTGAGGTCAGTAGAGGACAGCAACAGTGGCAATAAATAGACTCAGGAAGAAGCAAAGATAGGTAACGCTGCCCTAACCCCATATCTCTTTCTAGATGAGCCTCCCACTGGAAGGTCCCACCTCTGAGGGAGAGTCTGACCCTTTTAGTTAACCCCTTTCGGAAATGCGGTCATGGAAGAACCCAGACAGGTGCCTTCTGATTGACTCCAGACCCTGTCTTGTCATTGGAATTGGCCATTACACCATGTGACCTCTGCTCCAGTCTACGGAGCATTTCCACCACTCAAAATGTTCCTCCTTGTAATCACACAGCCTTGTTACCTTCTTTCTTGAAGTTTTGCCTGCTCTAAAATTTCACATATATGTTTTCATGTGAATATACCTCAATTTGTTCGTCTGTCTGTTGAGAGACACTTCAACAGACATAAAAGTGTAGAAACATAAATGGCGAAAAGCACACAAAAGAAACATCATTAGTAATTAGGAAAAGGCTAATTAAAATAAGTTACAATTATAAATCCACCAAGTTGTCGATGTGTGTCACTGTCACAGCTATTCAATGCTGTAGCCACTGATTGTCTACTTGTACCTATTGAACAGTTGAACTAGAGCTACTTCAATTTAAGATGTGGTACCAAATTTTGGAGCTATAGTAAAAATTATATCAATATCAATAATTTGCATTTTGATTGTGAGTTGAAATAGTTTTTTAAATAGATTTGTTAAAGTTTAAAGTTTTTACTTTTTAAACAGTGACCACTAGAAAATTTGAATTTGCATACTATGAATTATACTGGACTACTAAACAGTGGTCTTAAGCTGTAATTGTAAGTCTATAAATGAATCTTAGCAAGATACAAAAAACCTAAAACTTCCATATATGTTGGTGGAGATACAAAATACTAAATCATTTAAAAAAAGAATATGGAGTTCTTTAATGAAGTTAGTCATACTCTTAGTCCATGAGCCAGTAATGCTACTACTACAAGAGTCTACACAAGGGAGATAAAAAACGTGTTCACTCAAAGATTTGTACATGAATATTTGTAACAGTATTATTCATAATGGTCCCACCCTGGAGCCAGTTAATGTTTCTATTCAGTTATAAGTCACATTAAAAACTAGTTATTCCTTTCACCTGTGTAATGCGGTTCACAAACCTAAGATCTAATTCTTACAGCTGTAGCAACAGTGTAAAAAAAAAAATCACTACATAACTACTATGAAAGGTTAAATAGAAATCTAAACAATACTCAAAGGACTTAAAACTGTTAATATTCAAAAAGTGCTGATGTAGCTTATTTGAAAATAATAGAGTCAAAGCTTTTTTAATGACCACATATTCTATTTTTATTTTTTTATTTAAATATGGCTATGCATTTCAGTCAATGCTGCCCATTTTCCTTGGGGTTAGAAAGTATAAATGAGAGGACAGCAGATGCATACCTGTTGCTTGACATTGGAATATCCATGATCTGCCTTAAGTCTGATTTCCACACACATAGCAAATAGGACATGCTCTGCAGAGGGCAGTGACTTCCCTTCGTGGATTTCTGATACTCCCGATGAAATGGGAGCAGGGACAGTAGTTCTTCTTTTCTAATACCTTTTAAAAGTGATAATATTATTCATTTGTGTTGTACATTATTTTGCAAAACAATCACTAATAGTTTTCCTCTAAGCAGAAGCATTGAATATATCTGTATTCTCCCACATACAGGATAATTTGTCTTGTTTTTTTTTTCCCAGTTACAATAAATGTTTGCTTTTTAAAATTGAATGTGAACAACTCACAAACAGAAGACTATTTCCTATAAAAGTTTCACATGGCTACATCAAATATATTGCAAAACCTGTTGAAAAAGAAGCAATAAATTAATTTGATTTGACACTTCTCCAGTGCCTGTGGTTACTAAGGCCTGTGCAGGTTTCTGTTGATTGAGTTCTGATACTCCTTGGGACTAAGGCAACTTCCTCCTGATACCAGACCAAATAAGCGTCACTCTCGATTGTGAAAGCTGATTAGAAAACTGCTCCATTTTCCATTACCTCTTTTCCATAGCCGTGGATGAGCAAATTCCTTCTCCATTCCAGACTAGCCTGAGCAATCATAGCAGGTGATAAATGTCTTCCCATGGTGAATTTGATGTGGAGTCCTTGGCTTTCTTATCTGGAGAGGAAGTTAAGGACTTAAAGCAACAGTGTGAAAACAAGCAACTATGGTATATAATTCTGATTTGTTTTAGAAAACTCTTAATTTCCTAGTCACAAAGCCAAATAAGAACAACCCTTTAAAACTATTGAGCCATGAAATTCATTCTCCTTGAGGGCTTTAAATTTGGAAGCACACTCATGAAATTTATAGCTTTGATGAGATATATTTTGCCTGCAGTCAAGATGAGAGCTAGATCATTGGTTTCCCAGCATGACACCTATGTGTTCCTGTGTGCACAAGATTTCATTAGGCTGATAATAACACAGCCAACATCACATTAATGTTTACAAGGTTGCTTTTGTCACTTTTACATCTTCCATTTACACCTACAGCATGCTAAATAGCTCACTCCAGAAAATAGGACACTGCTTACACTGCTATTGTCAGTAGAGTGAAATAAAACTGCCATTTTCATATTTGTGGTGTTCAAGCCACAGACTATCAAAAGCTACACGTTCTAGAAATAATAGATAATTGGATCAGGCCAGGTGCCTATGTAAGCCTGAATGTGGTAGCTCTCATTGTTAACACTTGGAGATCTGAAAATGTGGCAGGGCAGTTCTGACTCTAACCATGTTGGGCAGAGCCTGATCTAAAGGAGACATGAGATTATTGTTGCTTTTAAAGATTTGTATATTTCTTCAGGACATTCAGGCTTCAGAATAGTGAGCAAGGGAGCTTGGTAAGTAGGACCTAAAGGTGGCCACCTTGACAGGAGTCTGCCATCTGCCTCACATAATGAATAAGGAGCTCTGTAGGAGGAAACCTATTATTTGGAAATAGTGATGCTATTTTTTATTAGGCAGTGAAATTCTGTGATTAGGGAAATCAGTTCTGTAAGCTGTGTCCTTAAGTTTGTTTAAAAAAAAAAATCTAAGGTGTTTTATCTGCAAGTTTACTATTCCATCTACCATTTACTATCATGGACAGTCTCAGACACAAATAAGATGAGAAAGAGTACAAAGAAATCTTGTGTACTCTGGAGTGAGATGGAACAATTATTGTTATTTTTCATCTTTAATGACATGTAAGAAGATACTTGTTTTGATTTTTGATGGTGATTATCTGTAATCACCATTAAAGAGCTAGACTCTAGATTTATATTTGTAGTTTTGTGCCCTGGGCAGAAATATAGAACTAGTCAGAGCTATAAATCATGAATATATTTCAGCCTCCATAATATTGTTGAACTAAGATAGCTTTGCAATTATACTAACAAGGTATAAAACTGGTGCCTTTAAAATGTTATTTTGTTGGTAAAATTAAATTTAAAAAAAAAAGAACATCTGTTTGGGGTTATGGTACTTTCTCCCAGGGAATACTTTCTTTGAGGCAATCTTTTTGGCCTGCATTGATTTGGCCTTTATTATCTGATTGAATCTAATTCTGGAAGTCAGGAATAGTCTCATGGAAATTTCCTGGTACAATGTTTGTCTTCAGGGTCTTTAGACACACTTGTTCTTGCATTGTTCTCACCCCAGCTCCTGACAGAGCAGAGTTCTTACTCAATAGTCATTGCTGTCTCATAGATCTGTATCACTTCATCATCAGGCAAACTGAAGCTCTATATTACTGAACAAAACAATCCTTCAACAGCACGATTCTGCCCTCTGCAAGTTTAACTGCATCATTTATTTTTAAGATTTGTATTAGTTCTTTGAGAGTTTCATACATGTTTTGATCACTTCGTATTCTTTCTTTTTTATAAACCCACAAAGATCACTTTGTGCTTCCCAAATAATTCTTGGATGTGTGGTTCTGTCACTGGAGCATGGACCAATACCAGAGGCTACACTCTTAGAGAAAACTCTTTCCTCTTCTAGACTAATAATTGCTAGTAGTTTCAAGTAATAGGTTGCATTTCACACCCAATTCCCATCTTTATGCTGGGATTTGATCTAGCTCAGGATTGCACAGGTCTTGTGCATGCTTCTACAACCACGGTGAGTTCATAGGTGTAGCAGCCTTCCTGTATGCGGAAGATGCTATTTCCTTGTAATCACCCACCACATCCATCTAGCTCTTACACACTTTCTGCCCCAACTTCTGCAATAATCCATGAGCCTTGAGAACAGGAGGTTCTGTAGATATGTTACCTTTAGGGCTAAGCATTCTGCAGTCTCTTATCCTCTGTACCCTTGCCATTTGTGGGTCTGTGCTAATCATCTACTGCAAATTGAAGCTTCTCAAATGAGCATTGAAATATTGACCTGTAGGTATCACAAAAAGTCATTAGGCATAAGTTGGCTCAATATTATGTCAATTCACCAGAATAATAGAGTAGATCTTCCCTTAAGGCTATCTCACCTGTCTAATCACAGGATCTTGACATGATAATCATGCCAGATATGAGAATCATCTTGTGGGAAAGGACTTAAATCCAATCAGAAAATGGTTAGTGACTCCCACGATGTTCGTGCCATTATTGCATCAGTGAGCATGTCTTGCCAGACCAATCATTACTATAACTCCTAGGGTTCACATCTGAGTATGACTTTTCCCTTCTGGTAGTGTGCATAACAAAAGCTAGCACCATGAAAGCTAGCCAGTGGGAATGAAGCTTTAGAGTCAGCACTAGCTTGATTTTTTTTTCCATGTTCTATGACTCAAGTATATGGTATCTTTGGCAATATAGTCTCACCATCAAGGTCTGGAGGGCAAACAAAGAGCATTGCCCATATCCTGTAATGTTTGGGGATCTATGGAACCTCATTTACCAACAACTCCACTTACACTGTGATTTTTATTAATTGATCTCTGGTGTCTAGTAGGGATATTATTGCTCTGTACTGGAGTAAATCCAGTGTGTGTGTGTGTGTGTGTATGTGTGTGTGTGTGTGTGTGTGTGTGTGTGTGTTTAAACATATTCATGTGTGGTAGTGGTACTATTAGGAGGTGTGGCTTTGTTGGAGTGCTTATGGCTTTGTTGGGGGAAGTTTGTCACTTGGAGTTGACTTTGAGGTTTCCTATGCTTGCATACCACCAAGTGTCTCAGTAGACTTCCTGTTGCCTGCAAGATGTAGGACTGGCAGCTACTACTTCAGCACTGTGTCTGCCCACATGCCACCATGCTGTCTGTCATGATGATAGTGGACTGAACCTCTGAAACTGTAAGTGAGTCACCCCAATTAAATGTTTCATTTATAAGAGTTACTGTGGTCATGGTGTCTCTTCACAGCAATGGAGACCCTAAATAAGACAGAAGTTGGTGCCAGGGAATGGGTATTGCTGTGATAAGCCTGACATATACAAACATATATACATATTTACATATGGAAGCTTCTGCAGTAGTGGGTTTCCATGTGTCTTTCCCATAGGTCTTTAGTGTTATCAGTCACTCCTCATCCTCCCTCCCCTCCACTCCCCCACTGCAGTTTACCCTTTCTGCTGTATTAGTCCCTTTAACCCTTTATACAACTGCAATCTTTCTCCCACTTAATCACAGTCCCCGGTAACCAATTTCTTCACCTTTCTATACCTCATGTAGATGAGTAATGCAGTTTGTCTTTCTGTGAATGGGTTATTTCACTCAATATCCTTTTCTCAAGGTTCTTCCATGGTATTCATGTGACAGGATTTCCTTATTTTATAAAGATGGATAATTCCTTTGTTGACATACCACACTTTCTTTGTTTATCTATTAATGGAAATTTAGTGTGTTTTCATCTTGTGATGGTTGGTTGATATTTTTTTCCATATTGGTTCTGTTCCCTGTTCAGAGAACCCTGACTAATACACACCTTTTATTAAAACTGTAATTATGCAGTAAGCATACATTTGCTGATGTCTCCTTCTATTTTCCACTATATGAGGTATATACAGCTAGAAGGGACATTGTTGGACTATATAATAATTTCAATTTTTGTTTGTATGTCTTTTGAGTCAGGATCTCACTATATAGTACATATTGGTTTGTAACTCCTGATATTTTTGCCTCAGCCTCCCAAGTGCTGGGATTATGGCTATGCGTTCCCATCCTTAGTCTTACTTTTAAGGGTCTGATGATCTTTTTCATAATTCTGTCATTTTATATCTCCAGCAATGTATTTATATTTCCTTCATACGTGTTTCAATCCCTCTTTCTTCACCTGTATAATGGGAACTTCCTTGAGCCGTTCAAAGCTCTCGCTGCTCACGGGACAGCTGAGGGAAGGACTTCTGTCCAGCTCTCTGCCCCTTGCTATCAGCACTCCTTGTCCCTGTGCGTCCTATAATCACTGCTTGTGCTTAACCATGTGCTCTACTCCTCCGCCACTTGACAACCTCAGCTATAAACCAAGGGGAGTCAGTCAGTGCTACTAAGTGACCGAGTCATACAAAGTCCGTGTGAAGTACAGTCCAGTTTCACATTGGGCTGGTGTTGCGTTCTAAATGTTTGCTTGGACTTCTCTGTCTGTCCACAACCTGTGAGGTATAGGGAGGTAGCAACCAAGCTCTTTCAATGCCTCAGGCATGTTTACAATAAAGATTAAAAGAGTATTATGTATCTATGTATGAAAAATACACATACACTTATCAGCTCCTCTGTCCTGTCCCAGCAGATAGACTTAATAAAAGCAATAACTTGGTAAGGTCCATCAGTTCCCTTACTGACACGTTATCCTGTGAATCCATGCTCATGTTGTATATATACTACGGCTTTAATCCTGGTCACTCAATTATACCATCCATGGTTACAATCTTCTGCTTGATATCAATAACTCTTCCTTAATTTGTTCATCAAGCCGCCTCTACTCTGAGCTCCACTCTGTGATGTGCTGCCTCAGCTCTCAGTGTAGTCTGGGTACAGACAGATAAAGAGACGGAAGGTTGTCATGATGAAACGTTCCAGTAGAGGTTGATAAATGAGGCTACAGAACACAGAGTGGGGAAGCAGAACAAGCTTAGGCTTCAGGGAAATGATCTTAAAAAAATAACACTTGAGTTTGGCTTTGAAGGGATGTTTTTATTTTTTGAAACAGAAGTAGCAGTTCGTATGAGTAGTGTTCCAAAGGAACAAAGTGACAGTGGACAAAAGCCAAGTCCGCCAAGGCTAAAGATAATTTAGCTTCCCTGAATCCAAGAAAAGGCCAGACAGAAAGTGCTCAGAGCAGAACCTGGGAAGACAGGAGGAGGTTTTGTCATGGAAAGCCTCTGGGTTTGGTAAGGACTTTTCATTTAGTTCTTTAGCATTGGACAAGGAGTTAAATCACATGGCACTGAAGAAGTAGCTGGGCTGGCTGTACAGCATTGTGAATGTCATCAATACCACTGAAGTTAAAATGGTTAAAACACAACGTTGACCATAATTTTAAAAAAGAATACTAGGGTACAGAAAGGAGCCATTGACGCATATGCTTTAAATGGGTAAATTGTGAAATATATGAATTATATTTTAATAGTGTTGATTGAAAAAACAAGCCCCTAAGAAACAAACCACGTGGGAAGTATTTAGAGCTCTGATAACTCTGTGCTCTGGTCAATTAAGTCAGAGTGTCTGGAGGTGGGCTGAGCTTCCCACACCTTGTCAAGTGCTCCAAGCAGTTCTAATGTGCAGTCACAGTAGAGAAGCAGGGCTGTAGGCAATAAGGAACCAGTGAGGAATTTTAATCGAGGGAATAACCTGATCAGATTTGCATTTCAGGAAATCCACTTTGTCAATTGCGTGGAACACAGATCATCAACTTCTCAGCTCCATGTGAGGAGCCATGTGGACGGCAATAGAATGGTGATGGAGACTATATTGGGAGTAAACATCAGAAAGCAACTCAAATGGCCCTTAACTGACAAGCAGACAAAAGCCGGAGTGTGTACCAGAAAATGGTTGCTCAGAATGGAGAGAGCCCACCACCTGGTGGCATTGACTCTGCTGCCTCACACTCGGGCTGCTGAGGGGGAAATTGCCCGTTTCCTCTGAGACCTGTCTGCTGCTCAGCCATGGCTCCTGCTGACCTTGGCAGTACCATCCTCTGGTCATCATTCCAGTCCAGAAGCCTCATTCATTATCTTTCATTCCTAAAAAGTATAATGTATATAATTTAAGAGTCACACCTAAAATGTGCATGGTGGGTGTGTTTAAGAAAACACACTCAGGTAACACCAGCAAAAGGAAGCTGGACAGTAGTAGCTTCCCGGAGCCCCCAAGTTTGTGATTTCTGGATAGTCAGAGTCTCCTTCCAGTCACAACCTCTGATGACCACTATTCCACGCTCTGCCTCACATGTTCCCCATGGTGTGGCATAGGTGAAATCATATGCTTTGCTGCTGCTGAGTGTGGCTTCTCCCACTTAAATCATCTGTGTTGTTATGCATCCTAGCATCCCTTCCTTTCTATTGCTGGGTAATTTTCAGCTCTCTAGTTATGTCATGGCTACCTCTCCTCTGCTCAATCGTGGGTTTCCCAGCTGTATTACGTGTGCTTTTCTGCTGTTGTGATGAGCCCCTTGACCAGAGGAACAGGAGTCTACAGTGGCCAAGAGGAGGGATGACAACAAGAAACGGGCAGGGGTTGGGCAGGGGTGATGCACGCCTTTAATCCCAGCACTGTGAGTTCAAGGCCAGCCTGGTCTTCAGAGCCAATTCCAGAACAGCCAGGGCTGCACAGAGAAACCTTGTCTTGAAAACAAACAAACAATTAAAAAATAATAAAACGAGTCATGGGAACGGAAACAGGAAGCTGAGAGATCCCATCTTGAACTGAAAGCACAAATCAGAGAGAGAGAGAGAGAGAGAGAGAGAGAGAGAGAGAGAGAGAGCAAAATAAAAGCAGGTGAGGCACTGTACTGGTAAATCCTGGCACATACTTCCTTCAGCAAGGACATGCAAGCTAAACCTCCCCAAGCAACACCACCCACTAAGGCTAAATAGTCAAATTTAGCCCGAAGCTATGGGGATATTCATTCAAACCACCACACCAGTTTTTAGGGACTATAAGTAAAGTTGTTATAAATATTTGTGTAAGAATCTTCACAAGGGCATAGTTTTCCTTTCATTTCCTAGAATTTGTATGAGTTCGATCACTGGGTTACATGGTGTGGAGGTTTAAAAGAGAGTGACCCCAGTAGTCTCATGTATTTGAATACGTGGTCCCCAGTTGGTGGAACTATTTAGGAAGGATGGGGAGGCGTGGCCTTGTTCAGAGGTGTGTCATGAGGGTGGGCTTCGAGACTTCAGAGGACTAGAGCCGTTCTCAGTGTCCTCTCTCATGTCTTCTTGCCAATCAACATATGAG